TTTCCACTTTTGAAAACAATGCTTGTCTCCTATAAAATGACCACTGTTTGAAATATACATTTAATATACACGACAACTTTTAAACATTCATGATGTATGAATGAAATAATAGGTGATGTATTTAAAAAGTAATATTATACAGAAATTATAACAACAAAGGAATAAGATAATAATGAGGAGCGTCCGAGCGTACATAAACCAAATATTGTATTGAATTTAAAACTTGAACATTGAGGTCAGGGTTATTTTGTTAATGGAGTGCTTCTTTATGGAGGGTGAATGAGGTGTCATGTCATGATTTTTCAAACAAGAGGGTGAATAGTTGGTTTTGCATTATGTGATTTAAAGCGTGTCGGTAGATGAGAGTTTTTGTCTGTTATGTTCTCTGATTCTGTGATAAATGGCGCGTCACAATGTATCGGGAATTGATCGCGCAATTGAATTCATATACCCCATAGATTTAATTGAATCAGGATCTGGCCATGAAAGGTTTTGATTTGAATGATGGAAAATGAACAAACGTTCAGCCGCTCATAATGTTTGAAACGCGTTTGGCGTCCATGCAGTAATTGTCGCAGGTTCTTATTGAGCCATTCATCCGTTGCCTTTGCTTCGAGTCTGCGGTTGAGGTTGTTGCTGGGCTTTTGTCGATATCGTTTTACGGTTCTGTTAATAAAGTGAAGTGGGAAAGAGTTTCGTGATGGATGTTTTATGTCTCGTTGAAAGCCATTGTTCGTATTGTTAAGTTTCATGCTCTGTCGATTAGTGTGCATAAGTCCGGTTTTGTATGAAAGTGGTGAAACTAAAAATAGTTCGTCAGAAGTCCGCACGCCGGTTTGTGGTATGTAGATGTTGTATTAAGTCGTGAGATTTTGTTAGTAAAATGTCAAGAAATGGCAGTTGATCTTGTTGTTCAGTTTCGGAAACTAATGTTTGCGCTGTGTTAATGGAACCATGGCCTCAGTTTCGTTAGTAATACAAAAAATACCAACGTATCTGCAGTAAAATAGTGGTTTAGTGTCGTTGTGAAGTTGTTTAGCCAGAATATTCGGAAATTCATGAAAATACATATTAGTGAGTATGGTGCTAAGAGCCCATCGTAACACCGTCCGTCTGGTCATAAAATTTTCCATTAAATCAAAAAATGCCTGTGCTGCTATTGCCAGTGAGGTCGGTCCTGTTTATCGAACGTGGGGCTGTGAGTGAATATTAAGTCGATTGCCAGGTTAATGGTTTCAGCAAGGCATGTTAGTAACAGGCTTTCAACGTCGAAAGATGAAGATGAAGATAAGAAGTTGATGAGTTGAAAAACTCATCAACTTCTCAAACCGGACAAAGGCAAACCGGACAAAGGCAACGGCGTTGTAATCATGGATCGTCAAATGTACCGTAACTCCTGCCTTAAAATCATTAACAATACAGCAAAGTTTACCCCACTCAAAGAAGACGCCACACGGTATTTCAAACCTACAACGACTGGAAGCTTCTAAAGAAAGACTCAGCAACAAAGTTTATAATGATATCTTCCCAGAGGTTCTCAACCTCACGCTTCTATGGCTTACCGAAACTTCACAAGAAACGAGAACCAGAACAACGCCCACCACGACCGATAGTTTCATCAATCAATATTTACACAATTATAATTTTAGCTAAGTATCATAAAGTTCTCTAACTAACACCACTCATAACCAGATGACCACCACTAAAGATTCTTTCACTTTCTCGACGACTTCTCATCTTTCAACTCATCAACTTTGTCATGCAAATTCTTCATCTCCTACGACGTTGAAAGCCTATTTACTAACATACCACTTACTGAAACCATTAACCTAGCAATCGACTTAATATTCACTCACAACCCCACGTTCAGTATAAACAGGACGACCTCACACAACTGTTTTTAATAGCAACAGCACAGACGCATTTTTTATTTAATGGAAAATTTTATGACCAGACGGACGGTGTTGCGATGGCTCTCCTTAGCACCCATACTTGCTAACATTTTCATGGGCTCACATGAACGAAACTGGCTAAACAACTACAACGACACTAAACCACTATTTTACCGCAGATACGTTGACGATATTTTTGTGTTTTTACTAACGAAATGAGGCCATGAAGTTTTATAATTACATTAACACACAGCACGCAAACATTAGATTTTCTTTCGAAACTGAACAACAAGATCAACTGCCATTTCTTGACATTTTACTAACAAAATCTCACGACAGCAACATCTACATACCACAAACCAACACACAGGACTTCTGACGAACTATTTTAGTTTCACACCACTTTCATACAAAACCGGACTTATACGCACACTAATCGACAGAGCATACAAACTTAACAATACGAACAATGGCTTTCAACGAGACATAAAAAAACTCACATCCACTCTTTACGAAACTCTTTCCACTTCACTTTATTAACAGAACCGTAAAACGATATCTCGACAACAAACATAACAACCTCAACCTAGACACCAAAACTCCTGACGACGATCACAACCAACACAAATGAAAATTCCAAAATAACAACTCTATACTTCAAACTACCATACATCGGACATTACTCACGACACACACAACGCAGACTTACAAACATTATGAAACGCTTCTGTACAGATATTGACATTCGACTGATTTTCACATCATTCAAAATCAAAAACCTTTTTTCATTTAAAGACCCGATCCCTGATTCAATTAAATCTATGGTGGTATATGAATTCAATTGCGCGGGATGTAATTCCCGATACATTGGCGAAACTTCGCCATTTATCCACCAGAATCAGGAACATACCACAACAGACAAAACTCTCACATCTACCGACACCTTCTTAAATCCACTCATGCAAAACCAACTATTCACCCTCTTGTTTCAAATCATCGACACTGCCGACACCTCATTCACCTTAAAATCAAAGAAGCACTCCTATTAACAAAACTAACCCTGACCTCAATGTTCAAGTTTTTAAATTCAATACAATATTTAGTTTATAATACGCTCGGACGCCTCATTATATTATCTTATTTCCTTTTTATTGTTCTAATTTATGTATCATATTACTTTTATATAAACCCTGTATCACCTATTATTTCATTCATACTGAAGATGGCATCATGAGATGTCGAAACATGTTTATTTTCAAAAAAGTTGTCGTGTATATTAAATGTGTATTGGCAATAGTGCTTTTACGAAATTATGTTTGAAATATCTTGTATAAAATATAAAAGAGGTTAACAATAATGTCGCAAAAAAGATAAACATAAAGGTTAACGTAAAGGTAGAAAAAAGGTAGATATGAGTGTGATAGAGAGAGGTTAGAATAATTATAACTAGAAAATAGTGTTAAAATGTTTAATTTGTTGGTTAAGATCGGCTTTTTTTGGCGTATGTGTAAGGCTTCATTAAGTTTTAGAGAAAATTGAGTGTTGGCGGTGTCTAGGAAAGTGAAACATGAGCGAGTGTATTTGGATTGTTTAAAACAATAAGTTAGAACTAATGAGAAAGAGCAAATGCGTAAACTTCTACTGCTATATTTTAAAACAACTTACTTGAACAACTTGCGGAACTAATAAACAGTTTTTCATGGCATTTGGAAAGTGAAATATAGAAAAAATGAAAAAGCTAGAAATTCCCGTATAAAAGTCATTTCTCCTTTCCGTCAGTTTATGCTTGTTTCCATGACCTTAAATATTGCGAAGCATTTGATCATATAGGTTTTTGATACTTTATGGTATTTGATGTAATGATTTTGCCTAAAACAGTCAAAATTTATTGTTCAATATGGCTTTTCGTCAAATAAAATATGATAAATTTGGATACTTTTGAAAACGTATTGTCTTAGGGAACGTGCCTATTCACATTTGCAGCTGTGATGAGACGTTACGTGGGTTTACTTTTATTTAACTGTAATAATATTTTAAAACTAAATATTATAAAAAGCATTAAGTTTTGTTGATGATTGTTTATGTAATTACACATTATAAACTTTCATGAATTCTGATTGGTCAGTATAGCCAACAAAGAAGGCAGAACAAGTTATATAACACATTTGTTGAGTATTTCACTTACTGAGCAATGAAAAAACCAAATTCTTTGGGTATTTGCAAAGCGAAATACAGAAATATACAGACCATTCCAAAACGTATAGTAAGTCAATCATATCCATCATATATTGTTATGGCAATTTTCTTTGTGTTGGGTATTACAATATGCATATTTGTTATTTTTGGAAATACTCTTGTGATCATTACAATATTAAAACAAAAGATTCTGTTAAAGAAGAACTATTACTTTCATGTCTTGCATCTTGCGATTTGTGACGCATTTGAATTGATAAACATATATTTTCTTAATATCTTGCCTAACTATTTAAAAATTAACTCATTTCGGTTGAACTGTTTGGTGGTAGGCATAACTCGTTTGTTTTTAATAAGTGGAGTATGTATGATGTTGATAATTTCAGTTATACGTTATCGTGCCATAGTTCATCCATTAAAATTTTCCTTCTGTCGAAGAAAGATAAAAATTGCTTGTGGCTTAGTGTGCATCATTGGTCTGGTTGCGACAGTTGGAATAACAATTCTCAATTGCGTTGTGGATCCTGAACGTCGTTATTACATTTACGAAGTATTTGCGTTTTTTTCATGTTTCTACAATTTCCCAATAATCTTCATGATTGTGACTTACTCCATAATCGCTCGATTATTGATGAAACTAAGGAAAGCACTACGAACACTCTCCAATCCGACATATTCTCATGTACAATCCTCCACCACCCCAAGTCTTCGAAGATATATTCGAAGTTTGAAAACATTTTTTGTTTGTGCTTTAACGGTTCTTTGTTTTTCAGTTGGTCGTATTTATTTAATAACAGCTGAGCTGCAGAAGTACTATAATGCAGAAACTAACGTGATACATGTATTTGTTGGTGTTCATCTTAGTATTTTGGGATCACACGCTGTCAATCCATTAATCTATGGAATATTTGGCAGACAAGTGCTGTACTTTTGGGAGTGCTGTACAAGACGATTTTAGCAAATGCAGAAAACAAAACGTTTTTAATCACTTGCATGTTTCTTGTTCTAATCTAGTAGTAGAGATGTTTAAAAGTTTTAATGTCGTGAAACAAGAATTATACCTTTTACAAATTTAATAATAGAATTAAGAAGAAGGAAGACCTCTGAAGCGTTCTTTAAAAATTTAATTGCTTTGGATAACACAACACGGAAACTAACCAAAATAACTCAAAGTTAGCTGCAAAATATTTTAAGCAATATATACGTGCACACAAGAACCCAAATAAGTAGTGAAACTCGTCATTATTTTTCTAGTAAATAATAAAAGTTTTCTTCATTATGATACTATTTTTCAATCTTTTCTTCTGTGGAATGTTGGAAAAATGTTGATGCATGTTCTTTTAAAGATTCTAGAGAGAAATATATAGATAGAAATATATAAGTAAGTTATTAATGAATAGAACCTAAAATGGCTTGGCATTCAGAGAAAAGCAAATAAAATAAATTGGTGTCCTTTCCACATGGTTCAACTTGCTGTTCCTATAAAATGACCACTGTTTGAAATATCTTGTATAAAATATAACAGAAGTTAACAATAATGCCGCAAAAAAGATAAACATAAACGTTGACGTAAAGGTAGAAAAAAGGTAGATATGAGTGTGATAGACTTTATTCCAAAGCCATCATCAGAGTATAAACATATTATATTCCTATCCACGGTTTTTAATATGCACATTTGCTATGACTTGGACGAGATTTAAACTCGCACCTTCGGGATATTAGTCCGCCGCTCTACCTGTTGAGCTACCAAGCCCACAGGGAGTGGATACGAGTCAAATCTATTTTAAACTGCGTATGGACGAGAGATTCTCGCCACTATAACAGTTTAGACAGGGACATCGATTCATTAAAGCCATCATATATACATATATATTAATCCTAATTAATGTATATACCCATGATAATGAATAAAGTCGAAACACGGTGCCATCCAGTAAATCTCGTCCAAGTCACATGTTTTTCATTTGCATATTAAAAAACACTGAAAACACTGAAAACACAGTTTATCATCACATTATAACAGGGAAATTGATAAAAAGAGCGCGCTCCAAGTTGGCCAGAAAAATCATTGAGAATGAAAAGTTCTGTGGTTTTCGTTGTGGCAATATGTGTATTTGGTAAAGTTGGAAATGCCCTTGTGATCGCTTCAATAATAAAACAGAAAATTCTGCTAAAGAAACATTTTTACTTTCTTGTCTTGCATCTTGCAATATGTGACGCATTCGCGCTGCTATCTATCTTGTTTGGGCCTCTCAAAAGAGTCACATTTTTGTCAAACTGCATAAATATTCTTCTCATATGTAATTTAATTTTTGAAACAAGTGGAGTATCTATGATGTTGATCATTTCAGTTCTACGTTTTCGTGCAATAGTTCATCCATTGAAACCTTCCTTCAGTGGACGAAAGATAAAAATCGTTTGTGGTTTAGCGTACATCATTGGTTTGGTTCCGACAGTTTTACTTTCTAATCTAGTGTGCATTAAATTTCCTCTACATCGTTATTTCCTTTACGGAATGCTGCCTTATTTTGCCAATTTCTACATTTTCCCAATAATATTCATGACTGTAACTTACTCCATAATCGCTCGAGCATTGATCAAACAAAGAAAAGCCCTAAGAGCATTCTCCAATGCAACACCGTCTCATTTTCAATGCTCCTCCAACTCAAGTTCTCAAAGATACACTCGGGATTTAAAAATGTTTTCCGTTTGTGCAATAACGGTTCTCTGTTTTTCCATTGGTCAAATTTATTATACGACAGCTTGGTTGAATTGGCATTATTCTGCTGAAACTAACACAGTAAACTACTCAGTTGCTTATTGTGTAAAAATTTTGGGAACACACGCTGTCAATCCATTAATCTATGGAATATTTGACAGAAAAGTTTTGTACTTTTGGAAGTGGTGCACAAGAAGATAATTATTAGCTAATTCAGATAACAGGACGTTTGATGATTGCTTACATGTTTCCTGTTTTAATGTTTAAACTATTTACGTTTAATTAATGTTTCAAAAACAAGGCCTTTATTGATTTCAGCATCAGAACCAAGAAGACCTCTAACGTGCTTATTGAAAAAATATTTTCTTTGAATGATACAAGTTAAAACCTGAAACTAACTAGAATAAAGTCAAAGTTAGCTGCACATTACAGTTTTCAAGTAATCTTTACATAGATCCCGAATAAGACAATTTTTCCAAGATAATGAAAATTGTTTTTAGCTATATTGTATTTCAACCTACCATTCACGTGGAATATTTGACAATTAAGTAGAGTTTTGTTTTGAAATAGCTTAAGAGAACTATAGACAAAAAAATAGAAATGTATTTGGATTGTCTTTATTTATGACTTTGACTAGTTCGTGTAAAAATTACAAACAACTGCAATTAGCTGATAGTTGTTCTTAATTGACTGCGTTAGCCAGCTACAATGCCATCTTTTTTTTAACAAATGCATTCATTCCTAATTAGTTCACATTTTAGTTGCTCAAATGCAGTTTTAATGTTTGGTTTATCTTCGAATAAAATTATGGAATGCACATTGTTTGAAAAAAATATTGCTGCATGGTAAAAATGAAGTGTTGGGAAAAAAGTTTGATACAAAATTCCATAATGTGTTACATGAAGCAAATATGAGAAGGCAGACAGGTAGAAAGTACTTAGTGTGTTGTTTGGAAGAAAAGTAGATAAGGAGACTTTGTAGATGAATAATATATTGCGGAAATTAAAAGATTGCCAAAGAAGATGTATGGTTACAAGAGAACAAAAGAGGGTAAACATGAGATACGGAAGATACGTCATAAGGTTTAAGCCATCAGGGATGGAAGAACCTTTTCTATATTTTGAGGTGGGGATATCACTTCACAAGAAAATATGAATATTCAGATGCTCTATAGACTGCTGGGAAAAACCATTTTCTTATCGCTTTAGACTTCGGTAGCCCTCTTCACTTCCATGGGATATGAATTTTGCATTTCTCTTACTTGACGCACATTTTGGTAATTTATTCATGACTATATTTCAGTATTCTAGCAAATGTTGGCTGTTTTTGCGTTAGAGACGTCCTCACGCTGTAAGGACGTCTTTTTATTCTCTTGTAAAGAGAGAAAATACGATATTAAGGCATCTGAAAGATTGGCTTATTGGATAAATTTGCTTTAAAAATTCACTTTTACATTGGTAGAAGGCGAAGATGTTGGTCTGTAGAAGACGTCTCGTTGGTAATTATCAAACTGCAATAAACATGACGTGAACAATTGGCGTTAGTTTGATGACTTCGATTTTCATGAACTCTTTTATGATTGATTGTTACGCGAATTTAAAAAATTTCATATCTAAGCAATAAGTGTTTGTCTCGTGTCCCCAAATACTACCCTACTAACCCCCCTTCATTAACAAAGGAGATGTTTAGTCACATCTTAATTCTCTGACATATAGTTTAGACATTAGAACAAAATTTTCATCAATATAATGTCGTAATATTGTCATCTTAAATGCTACAATTCTTCAATTTTCATTACTCTAACTGCCAATTTGTTGTAAGGAAAAGAACAGCAGCTGTATTTCATACCCACAACATATAATTGATGCTAATTTCAAATATCACAATATGTAAAATAAGCATCATTATTTAAGTATATTTTCTTAAGGCATATGCAAATGAAATAAAGGAAAATAAGGCACTCAGTAGGTCAGACATATAAGTAATATCTTTATGGAACCTAGTATAATTTCCATTGTCGCAATATGTGTATTTGGTATTGTTGGAAATACTCTTGTGATCGCTTCAATATTGAAACAAAGGATTTTGTTAAAGAAAACCTACTACATTTTTGTCTTGCATCTTGCGACTTGTGGCGTGTTTGCTTTGCTGAATATATTTTTCATTCAGTTGAAAAGCGCATCATTTTTGTTTAGTTGCTCATATATGGGTTCCATAGATGCTTTGTTTCAAATAAGTGGAAGTTGTATGATGTTGATCATTTCAGTCCTACGTTATCGTGCGATAGTTCATCCATTAAAACTTTCCTTCACTCGAAGAAAGATAAAAATCATTTGTGGCTTAGTGTACATCATGAGTTTGGTTACGATAGTTGGAATAATAATTTTTAAGTGCGTTGAGGATCCTGAACGTCGTTATTACATTTACGAAATTTTTGCGTTTTTTTCATGTGTCTACATTTTCCTAATAATCTTCATGACTGTGACTTACTCCATAATCGCTCGAGCATTGATAAAGCAAAGAAAAGCACTACGAACACTCTCCAATCCTTCACATTCTCAAGTACAATCCTCCACCAGCTCAAGTCTTAGAAGATATATTCGAAGTTTGAAAACATTTTTTGTTTGTGCACTAACGGTTCTTTGCTTTTCAGTTGGTCATATTTATCATATGACAGCTCGGTTGCAGTGGTACTATAAAGCAGAAACTAACTTGATACATTCATTTGTTGGTCTTCGTCTTAAAATTCTGGGGTCACACGCTGTCAATACATTAATCTATGGAATATTTGACAGACAAGTGCTGTCTTTTTGGAAGTGCTGTACAAGAAGATTTAAGCAAACGCAGATAAAAATACGTTTTTAATCGCTTGCATGTTTCCTGTTCTAATCTAGTAGTGGAGATATTTAAAAAGTTTAATGTCTTGAAAGAAGAATTATACCTTTTACAATTTTAATAATAGAATTAAAAAGAAGGAAGACCTCTAAAACGCTCTTTAAAAATTTAATTGCTTTAAATAACACAACACGGAAACTAACCAAAATAACTCAAAGTTCTCTGCAAAATAGCTTAAGCAATATATACGTGCAAACTAGAACCCAAATAAGTAATGACACTCGTCGTCATTTTTCTAATAAATATTAAAAGTTTTCTTCATTATAATACTATTTTTCAATATATTCTTCTGTGGAATGTTGGAAAAGTGTTGGTCATGTTGGAAAATGTAAAGACAGAAAGATATAAGTAAATTACTAATAAATAGAATCTAAAATGGCTTCGCATTCAGAAAAAAGCAAATTAAAATAAATTAGTGTCCTTTTCCACTTTTAAAAACAATGCTTGTCTCCTATAAAATGACCACTGTTTGAAATATCTTGTATAAAATATAAAAGAGGTTAACAATAATGTCGAAAAAAAGATAAACATAAAGGTAGACGTAAAGGTAGAAAAAAGGTAGATATGAGTTTGATAGAGACAAGTTAGAATATTTACGATTAGAAAATGGTGTTAAAATGTTTAATTTGTTTGTTAAGATCGATTTTCGTTTGCATATGTGTAAGGCTTCATTAAGTTTTAGAGAAATTGAGTGTTGGCGGTGTCAAGATAGTGAAACATGAGCGAGTGTATTTGGAGTGTTTAAAACAATATGTTAGAATGAATGAGAAAGAGGAGATGCGTAAAATTGTACTGCTATATTTTAAAACAATTTACTTGAACAACTTGGGAACTAATAAACAGTTTTTCATGGCATTTGGAAAGTGAAATATAGAAAAAATGAAAAATCTAGAAATTCCCGTAGAAAAGTCCTTTTTCGTTTCCGTCAGTTTATGCTTGTTTCCATGACCTTAAATATGGACAAGCATTTGATCATTGAGGTTGTTGATACTTTATGGAATTTAATGTGATGATTTTGCATAAAACAGTCAAAATTTATTGTTCAATATGGCTTTTCGTCGAATAAAATGTGGTAAATTTAAATACGTTTGAATGCGCTTTGTCTTAGGGAACGTGCCTATTCACATTTGCAGCTGTGATGAGACGTTACGTGCGTTTGCTTTTATTTAACTGTAATAATATTTTAAAATTAAATATTATAAAAAGCATTAAGTTTTGTTGATGATTGGTTATGTAATTACACATTATAAACTTTCATGAATTCTGATTGGTTAGTATAGCTAACATAGAAGGCAGAACAAGATATATAACACATTTGTTAAGTATTTCATTTACAGAGCACCAAAAAACCAAATTCTATTTGGTATTTGCAAAGCGAAATACAGAAATATACCGACCACTTCAAAACGTATAGTAAGTCCATCATATCTACCATATTTTTATCATGGAAAATTTATTTGTGTTGAATATTGCAATATGCGCATTTGGTATTTTTGGAAATACTCTTGTGATCGCTTCAATATTAAAACAAAAGATTCTGTTAAAGAAGAACTATTACTTTCTCGTCTTACATCTCGCGATATGTGACGCATTTGCATTGATCTTACATTTGTTATATGTCTTGCTTATCATATTAAAAATTAACTCAATTCTGTTGGCTTGCTCAAGGGACAGCTTAAATTTTTTTTTTGAAATAAGTGGAGTATCTATGATGTTGATCATTTCAGTTCTACGTTATCGTGCCATAGTTCACCCATTGAAACCTTCCTTCAGTCGACGAAAGATAAAAATCGTTTGTGGCTTAGTGTACATCATGAGTTTGGTTGCGATAGTTGAAGGAATAATTTTCAAGTGCGTTAAGGATCCTGAATGTCGTCATTCCATTTACGCATGGTTTGCGCTTTTTTCATGTTTTTTCATTTTCCCAATAATCTTCATGACTGTGACTTACTCCATAATCGCTCGAGCATTGATCAAACAAAGAAAAGCACTACGAACACTCTCCAATCCTTTACATTCTCAAGTACAATCCTCCACCAGATCAAGTCTTCAAAGATATATTCGATGTTTGAAAACATTTTTTGTTTGTGCACTAACAGTTCTTTGTTTTTCAGTTGGTCATATTTATTTTATGACAGCTTTGTTGCAGCAGTACTATAGTGGAGAAATTAACGAGATACATGGATTTGTTGGTTATTGTCTTAGAACTCTGGGGTCACACGTTGTCAATCGATTAATCTATGGAGTATTAGACAGACAAGTGCTGTACTTTTGGAAATGCTGTACAAGAAGATTTTAACAAACGCAGATAACAAAACGTTATTAATTACTTGCATATTTCCTGTTTTAATATAGTAGTGGAGATGTTTAAAATTTTAATGTCTTCAAACAAGAATTAAGCCTTTTACAAATTTAATAATAGAGTTAAGAAGAAGGAAGACCTCTAAAACGTTCTTTAAAAATTTAATTGCTTTGAAAACCACAAAACGGAAACTAACCAAAATAACTCAAAGTTAGCAGCAAAACAACTTAAGCAATATATACGTGCACACTATAGCCCAAATAAGTAATGACGCTCGTCGTCATTTTTCTACTAAATAATAAAACTTTTCTTCATTATGATACTATTTTTCAATCTTTTCTTCCGTGGAATGTTGGAAAGGTGTTGATGCATGTTCTTTGAAAGTTTCAAGAGAGAAATATATAAATAGAAAGGTATAAGTAAATTATTAATAAATAGAACCTAAAATGGCTTGGCATTCAGAAAAAAGCATATTAAAATAAATTAGTGTCCTTTTCCACTTTTAAAAACAATGCTTGTCTCCCATAAAATGACCACTGTTTGAAATATCTTGTATAAAATATAAAAGAGGTTAACAATAATGTCGAAAAAAAGATAAACATAAAGGTAGACGTAAAGGTAGAAAAAAGGTAGATATGAGTTTGATAGAGACAAGTTAGAATATTTACGATTAGAAAATGGTGTTAAAATGTTTAATTTGTTTGTTAAGATCGATTTTCGTTTGCATATGTGTAAGGCTTCATTAAGTTTTAGAGAAATTGAGTGTTGGCGGTGTCAAGATAGTGAAACATGAGCGAGTGTATTTGGAGTGTTTAAAACAATATGTTAGAATGAATGAGAAAGAGGAGATGCGTAAAATTGTACTGCTATATTTTAAAACAATTTACTTGAACAACTTGGGAACTAATAAACAGTTTTTCATGGCATTTGGAAAGTGAAATATAGAAAAAATGAAAAATCTAGAAATTCCCGTAGAAAAGTCCTTTTTCGTTTCCGTCAGTTTATGCTTGTTTCCATGACCTTAAATATGGACAAGCATTTGATCATTGAGGTTGTTGATACTTTATGGAATTTAATGTGATGATTTTGCATAAAACAGTCAAAATTTATTGTTCAATATGGCTTTTCGTCGAATAAAATGTGGTAAATTTAAATACGTTTGAATGCGCTTTGTCTTAGGGAACGTGCCTATTCACATTTGCAGCTGTGATGAGACGTTACGTGCGTTTGCTTTTATTTAACTGTAATAATATTTTAAAATTAAATATTATAAAAAGCATTAAGTTTTGTTGATGATTGGTTATGTAATTACACATTATAAACTTTCATGAATTCTGATTGGTTAGTATAGCTAACATAGAAGGCAGAACAAGATATATAACACATTTGTTAAGTATTTCATTTACAGAGCACCAAAAAACCAAATTCTATTTGGTATTTGCAAAGCGAAATACAGAAATATACCGACCACTTCAAAACGTATAGTAAGTCCATCATATCTACCATATTTTTATCATGGAAAATTTATTTGTGTTGAATATTGCAATATGCGCATTTGGTATTTTTGGAAATACTCTTGTGATCGCTTCAATATTAAAACAAAAGATTCTGTTAAAGAAGAACTATTACTTTCTCGTCTTACATCTCGCGATATGTGACGCATTTGCATTGATCTTACATTTGTTATATGTCTTGCTTATCATATTAAAAATTAACTCAATTCTGTTGGCTTGCTCAAGGGACAGCTTAAATTTTTTTTTTGAAATAAGTGGAGTATCTATGATGTTGATCATTTCAGTTCTACGTTATCGTGCCATAGTTCACCCATTGAAACCTTCCTTCAGTCGACGAAAGATAAAAATCGTTTGTGGCTTAGTGTACATCATGAGTTTGGTTGCGATAGTTGAAGGAATAATTTTCAAGTGCGTTAAGGATCCTGAATGTCGTCATTCCATTTACGCATGGTTTGCGCTTTTTTCATGTGTCTACATTTTCCCAATAATCTTCATGACTGTGACTTACTCCATGATCGCTCGAGCATTGATGAAACAAAGAAAAGCACTACGAACACTCTCCAATCCTGTAAATTCTCAAGTACAATCCTCCACCAGCTCAAGTATTAGAAGATATATTCGAAGTTTGAAAACATTTTTTGTTTGTGCACTAACGGTTCTTTGTTTTTCAGTTGGTCATATTTATTTTATGACAGCTTGGTTGCAGCTGTACTATAGTGGAGAAACTAAAGTGATACATGTATTTGTTGGTTATTGTCTTACTATTATGGGGTCGCACGCTGTCAATCCATTAATCTATGGAATATTTGACAGACAAGTGCTGTACTTTTGGAAATGCTGTACAAGAAGATTTTAACAAACGCAGATAACAAAACGTTATTAATTACTTGCATATTTCCTGTTTTAATATAGTAGTGGAGATGTTTAAAATTTTAATGTCTTCAAACAAGAATTAAGCCTTTTACAAATTTAATAATAGAGTTAAGAAGAAGGAAGACCTCTAAAACGTTCTTTAAAAATTTAATTGCTTTGAAAACCACAAAACGGAAACTAACCAAAATAACTCAAAGTTAGCAGCAAAACAACTTAAGCAATATATACGTGCACACTATAGCCCAAATAAGTAATGACGCTCGTCGTCATTTTTCTACTAAATAATAAAACTTTTCTTCATTATGATACTATTTTTCAATCTTTTCTTCCGTGGAATGTTGGAAAGGTGTTGATGCATGTTCTTTGAAAGTTTCAAGAGAGAAATATATAAATAGAAAGGTATAAGTAAATTATTAATAAATAGAACCTAAAATGGCTTGGCATTCAGAAAAAAGCATATTAAAATAAATTAGTGTCCTTTTCCACTTTTAAAAACAATGCTTGTCTCCCATAAAATGACCACTGTTTGAAATATCTTGTATAAAATATAAAAGAGGTTAACAATAATGTCGAAAAAAAGATAAACATAAAGGTACACGTAAAGATAGAAAAAAGGTAGATATGAGTGTGATAGAGACAAGTTAGAATATTTACAATTAGAAAATGGTGTTAAAATGTTTAATTTGTTCGTTAAGATCGGTTTTGCTTGCGTATGTCTAAGGCTTCATTAAGTGTTAGAGAAAATTGAGTGTTGGCGTATAGTGATAGTCAGCTAATTATATTTTTTAATGACAAAGTAACAATGCCATGTTTTTCATGACAAATGCATGCATGAATTTATATTTCACATTTTTACAGTTGAGTTGCAACATTTGACGTATCTGCACGCAAATATAATTGTGAAATCGTTTAAAAACAAAATATTGCATGTTGTAAGAATACAAATACAGGGCTAAATAATTGACACATGATTCCAAGATTTGAGGCATGAAGAATACTTTTTGTTTGTATTGCCACATTTTCTGTTTTTTATTGAATCATGTTTATTTTGTGGTTGCAGACGTGCTATATATGAACAACACTCTTTCATCAAATTCTTCCACAAACATTTTGTTATCAAACAAAACACATAGAAACAACATGGTTTCACGAGGGAATTTCATATGATCCCTTTTGTGATTTATACGTTGATATATGCTTTGCATGCGGTTCCAAACAGCTTTTATTTACTGTAATGATTATCTGAAATTAAGGCCCGTTTCAAACGTCGCATTTTACATGCACCGAAAGCATTAAAGACAAAAGAAAATGACACAAAATTCCTCATTATCTTTTGTTTTAATTGCATTCGGCTCATGTAAAATGCAAAGTTAGAAACAAGCCTAACCATCTAGTCAATTGCTTATTTAGACCAGTAGGAGCACTAAGATAGTTAGCTGCAGCCAGAAGTCTAATTAAATAAACAGAACCAAGTTGCACAATGGAGTGAGACTACTGTTTGTTTCTATACTGTGACTGTAACTTACTCCTTAATCACTCGAGCACTAATCAAATAAAGAAAAGTCTCAGACCCGTTTCAAACGTCAAACTTTACATGAGCCGAATGCAATTAAAACAAAAGATAAGGAAGTTCATCTCATTTTCTTTTATCTTTAATGCATTCCGCGCATATAGAATGCGACGTTTGAAACGGACATAAGAGCACTCTACAATGCAAAACCGTCTCATTTTCAATCCTCAAAACAGGGATAAATTGAAAACATAATTCTTTTGTCGTCAGAGGACGGGATTAGTTAACTATTAAAACAGCCTCCATAACGTGTAACTGAAAGAATGAACGGCATTTCTCTCCTTTGAAGATGACGTACACTCTTTATTGACATTATAAATATCGGTTGGTTTTAAAACTTCATTTAGCAGACGTTGACACCCGAGGAATAGTCTGCCGAAATGCATCGTGTCGTTTAGTTCTTATATAACTATTGGGTTAGTGCCCTTTACTTTACTATTTTGCTCATTCTAAAATATTTGAAGTTCAATTCTTGTATAAAAGTCATTTTCTTAGGCTAGCAGCAGGCATAATTACTTCACAGATCGTTTCACTTGGGCAAAAGTTAGATGATTTTTATCGGCAATTCATAATATCTTGAAATGGTCAAACAATTTAGTCTAATGTAGTTTGACTAAGAGACCAAATTATGATTTCGCAATCAGCAAAACAACGCAAACTTGATTAGTTTTGGATCCCTATCGTTTTAAGAACGTGCCCTCATTAAACACAGCTGTGCATGATGCGATGTGGTGTTGAATATTTACTCTGAAAACACTGAAAACACAGTTTATCATCACATTATAACAGGGGAATTGATAAAAAGAGCGCGCTCCAAGTTGTCCAGAAAAAACATTGAGAATGAAAGGTTTGGTGGTTTTTGTTGCGGGAATATGTGTATTTGGTATTGTTGGAAATACCCTTGTGATCGCTTCAATAATAAAACAAAAGATTTTGCTAAAGAAAAATTTTTACTTTCTTGTCTTGCATCTTGCGATATGTGACGCAATCACGCTGCTATTTATCTTCTTTAGGCAGCTCAAAAGCGTTACAGTTTTGTCAAACTGCATAAATATTTTGAGTATTCTAATTTTTCAAACAAGCGGAGTTACTATGATGTTGATCATTTCAGTTCTACGTTTTCGTGCAATAGTTCATCCATTGAAGCCTTCCTTCAGTCGACGAAAGATAAAAATTATTTGTGGTTTAGCGTACATCATTGGTTTGGTTCCGACAGTTTTACTTACTAATCTAGAGTGCATTAAATTTCCTCGACGTCGTTATTACATTTACGGATGGCTGCCTTTTTTTGCCTGTTTCTACATTTTTCCAATAATATTCATGACTGGAACTTACTCCATAATCGCTCGAGCATTGATCAAACAAAGAAAAGCCCTAAGAGCATTCTCCAGTGGAACACCGTCTCATTTTCAATGCTCCTCCAACTCAAGTTCTCAAGGATATACTCGGGGTTTAAAAGCGTTTTTTGTTTGTGCAATAACGGTTCTCTGTTTTTCCGTTGGTCATATTTATTATATGACAGCTAATGGATTGCATTTGTTTTATTCTGCTGAAACTAACAGAGTAAACTTATCAGTTGCTTATTGTGTAAGAATTTTGGGATCACACGCTGTCAATCCATTAATCTATGGAATATTTGACAGAAAAGTTTTGTACTTTTGGAAGTGGTGCATAAGAAGATAATCATTAGTTAATTCAGATAACAGGACGTTTGACAGTTGCTTACATGTTTCCTGTTTTAATGTTTAAACTATTTACGTTTAATTAATGTTTCAAAAACAAGGCCTTTATTGAGTCAGTATCAGAACCAAGAAAACCTCTAACGGTTACTGAAAAAATATTTTCCTCGAACGATACACGTTATAACCTAAAACTAACTAGAATAAAGTCAAAGTTAGCTGCACATTACAGTTCTCAAGTAATCTTTACATAGATCCCGAATAAGACAATTTTTCCCAGATAATAAAAAATTGTCTTTAGCTATATTGTATTTCAACCTGTCATTCACGTGGAATATTTGACGATTAAGTAGAGTGCTGTTTTGAAATAGCATAAGAAAACTATAGACAAATAAATAGAAATGTATTTGGATTGTCTTTATTTATGAATTTGACTAGTTCATGTAAAAATTACAAACAACTGAAATTAGTTGATATTTGTTTTTAATTGACTGCTTTAGCCAGCTACAATGCCATCTTTTTTTTAAAAAATGTTTGGTTTATCTGCGAATAAAATTATGAAATGCATATTGTTTGAAAAATGAAATATAGCTGCACGCTGAAAATGAAGTATTGGGAAAAAATTTTGATAGGAAATTACATAATGTGTTACATGAAGCAAATATGAGGAGGAAGACAGGTAGAAAGGTACTTAGTGTGTTGTTTAGATGAAAAGTAGATTAGGAGACTTTGTAGATGAATAATATACTGTGGAAATTAAAAGATTGCCAAAGAAAATGTGTGGTTACAAGAAGGCTAAAAAGATTAAATATGAGATACGAAAGATGCGCCATAAGGCTTAAGGCATCAGGGATGGAAGAACCTTCTCAATATTTTGAGGTGGGGATATCACTTCACAAGAAAATATGTATATTCAGATGCTCTATAGACTGCTGGGAAAAACCATTTTCTTATCGCTTTAGACTTCGGTAGCCTTTTTCACTTCTATGTGATATGAATTTTGCATTTCTCTTACTTGACGAAAATTTTGGTCATTTATTCGTGACTATATTTAAGTATTCTTACAAATGTTTGCTGTTTTTGCGTTAGAGACGTCCTCACGCTGTAAAGACGTCTTTTTATTCTCTTGTAAAAGGGGAAAAGATGATATTAAGTCATCTAAAAGATTGGCTTATTGGATAAATTTGCTGAAAAAATTCACTTTTACATTCGTAGAAAGCGAAGATGTTGGTCTGTAGAAGATGTCTCGTTGGTAATTATCAAACTGCAATTGGCGTTTTTTGATGACTTTGATTTTCATGAACTCTTTTATGATTGATTGTTACACGAAACAAGAAAATTTAATATCTAAGCTGTCAAACACAATAGCGAAACGTAAATTTTATCTAAACAAGTGTTTATTCGGTGTCCATAAATACTACCCTACCCACACCCCTTCATTAACAAAGGAGATGTTTAGTCACATCTTAATTCACTGACATATAGTTTAGACATTAAAACAAAATTTTCATCAATATAGTGAAATTTCAGGAGCAGCTTTTTGTTCGTCAAGCCAATTTGGATTAACTATAAAACACAAATTTGTCATAATATTGTCATCTTAAATGCTACAGTTCTTCAATTTTCATTACTATAACTGCCAATTTGTTGTAAGGAAAAGACCAACAGCTGTATTTCATACCCAAAACATATAATTGATGCTAATTTCAAATATCACAAAATGTAAAATATGCATCATTCTTTAAGTATATTTTCTTAAGGCATATGCAAAGTGAAATAAAGGAAAATAAGGCACTTAGTAAGTCAGACATATCAGCAATATCTTTATGGAGCCTCGTATAAGTTCCATTCTCGCAATATGTGTATTTGGTATTGTTGGAAATACTCTTGTGATCGCTTCAATATTGAAACAAAAGATTTTGTTAAAGAAAACTTACTACTTTCTTGTCTTGCATCTTGCGACTTGTGAAGTATTTGCTCTTCTAAGTATATTTTTCATTCACTTCAAAAGTGACTCATTTTTTTCCAGTTGCTCATATATAGCTTCCATAGATAATTTGTTTCAAATAGGTGGAGTATCTATAATGTTGATCATTTCAGTCCTACGTTATCGTGCGATAGTTAATCCATTAAAATTTTCC